CTGTTTCATGGATCTATAGTAGTCCCCCCTTTTCTGTGGGGGGTATGTTCTAAGACCCCCAGTGAATGCCTGAAACCATGGATAGTACCAAATCCTATTTATACAAATTTTTTTGATCTGATTACCCAGATGGCTGTTAAATGACTAACAAGCAGGTAGCATCTATGGCATAGATATGCTGGACAAAGGATGATTCATGTCCCACGCAGGACGAAGTGAGATGGCACAAGACTTCACCACATAACTCAGAATGGCATGCAATTTAAAACTTATGAATTTGTTTCTGGAATTTTCCATTTAATATTTTTAGACCGTGGTTGACTGAAGGTAACTGAAACTATGGAAAAGTGAAACTGTGGATAAAGGGAGATGATTGTATTTGTCTATATTTACACCAAGACTGCAATATCACATTGCTTTGATTATTATAGTTAATTAGGTCTTGAAATCAGGTGCTGTAAGCCCTCCAGGTTTCTTCTTTTTTAAAGGTTTTGTTGTTATTGTTGTTGTTCTGGGTCCTTTATGTTTCCAAATGAGTTTTAGAATCAGCTTGTCAATTCCTAAAAGAAGTTTGCTGGATTTTTTTTTATTGGGATTGCATTGAATCTAAAATTTAAGAAGAGTAGACATCTTAAAAATATGAGTCTTCTGACAAACAAAGTGAATGTATTTCATTTTGAAGAGATAGTTCTTTACTATTACTGAGCAATGTTTTATAGTTTTTAGTGTATAGAACATCACATATTTTATCAGATTTATCCCACAGCATTTCATATTTCAATGCTTTTATAAATAGCATTTAAAAATTTTCAATTTCTAATGTTCATTGTTACTCTGTGGAAATATTAAATACAATTAATTTTTGTATATTGGTCTTGTATCCTGCAACTTTCTTAAGCTCATTTATTAGATTTCTACATAGACAATCATGTCATTTGTGAGTGAAGATAATTTTATATTTTCTTTTCAACTGGATTATTATTTCCTTTTTCTTGACTTATTGCACTGTCTGGAATCACTAATGCAATGTATAGGAATAAAAGTATTTATAATATTCTCTTAATATCTTTCTAATGCCTGTAGAATCTAGTGATATCATCTTTCTCATTCTTAATATTGGTAATTTGTATTTTCTTTCTGATCAGTCTGGCTAGAGATTTATTGATATTATTGATATTCTCAAAGAGGATGCTTGTGATTTACTTTTCTCTGTTGTTTTTCTATTTTATGAACTTCTAATGTATTTGTTATATGCTTTCTTCTGTTACTTTGGGTTTAATTTGCTCTTTTTTTTCTTGTGTCTTGAGGTAAAAACAGATTATTGATTTGAGACCTGTTCTAATATAGGTGATTAGTGGTATACATTTCCCCCCATAAGTACTGCTTACCTGCATCCTTTAAAATTTATTATGTTGTGTTTTCATTTTTATTCAAAATATACTTTCTAATTTCCCTTTGGAATTCTTTGACCAATGGGCTATTAAGAAGTGTGTTATTTAGTTTCTGTAATATTTTGGAATTTTCCAGATATCTTTTTATTTTTCTATTATGATCAGATGACATTCTTTGTGTGGTTTGAATAATGTTAAATTTATTGAGACTTATTTTATGGTTCAGGATAGAGTCCATCTTTGTAAATGTCCCTGGTGCACTTGAATAAAAAATGTGTATTCTGTGCTTTTGGGTAGAGTATTCTGTAAATGACACTTAGGTCTAATTGGTTGATAGTGTTGTTTATGTCTTCTATATCATTACTGATTTTCTGTCTAATTGTTTTATCAACTAGTAAGAGTAGTAGTATTGAAGTCTCCATCTATAATAGTGGGTCTGTGTGTTTCTCCTAGTAGTTCTATCAGTTCTGCTTCATGTATCTTCAAGGTCTATTATGAGGTATATAAACATTTAGGATTGTCATATTCCCTTGATAAATTTGACTCCTTTTATCCTTAGTAATATTCTTTGCCCTGAAATTTACTTTATTTGATATTAAAATAGCCACATTGACCTTCTTTTGACTGTTAACATGGTATATTTTTTCCACCCTTCTAATTTTTAACCTATTTATATATGTTTGTAAAGTGGATATCATTAGGCAGCAAAGACTTGGACTTGCTTTTTTATCCAATATGAGAATCTCTGCATTTTAATTGTGATATTTAGAATATGTACATTTTATATGGTTATTGATACATTTGTGTTTAAATCTATGTGATCTTGCTGTTTGTTTTCCATTTGTCCCATCTGTTCTTTGTTCCCTTTCCCACCTTCTTTTTGATTGACTATATTTTATGATTCCTTTTAATCCCTTCTGTTGGTTTATTAGCTATTACTAATAGCTTTTTGTGTTGTTTTAGTGGTTGCTTTAGAGTTTGTAGTACCTACAACAATTTACCTCCATCTATCTTTAGGTGATAGAATACCACTTACATATTGCATAAGAATGTTATGGCAATATACTTCTGTTTCCCCCCTCACAGCCTTTGTGCTATTGTTGTCATGTATTTTACTTCTATACATTATAAACTTCACAGTAAATTATTATATTCATTTTAATTGATCAATTATCTTTTAAAGATATTTAAACAGTAAGTAAGAAGTCTTTTGTATATGCTCACATAGTTTTCTATTTACTCATATTTCTACATATTCTTTTGTTTAGATTCAGATTTTTGTTTGGTATTATTTTCCTTCTGCCTGAAGGACTTTAATATTTCCATCACAAGTGTAGGTCTGCTTTTGACAATTTTTTTTTTTAGCTTTTGTTCTTCTGAAAAAGTCTTTATTTCACCTTGTTTTTGAAAGATATTTTAACAGGGTAAAAAATTTTATGTTGACAATATTTGAGCTTTATTTTGTTTTTCCTTTTAATATTTAAAAATATTGCTCCAGTGTTTCTGGCTTGTATTGTTTCTAAAGAGAAATCTGCTGTCATCCTTATTTTTGTTTCTGTGTACATAATGTGTTATTTTCCTTTGGCTGCTTTTAAGATAGTTTCTTTATTACAAGTATTAAGAAAGTTAGTCATGATGTACTTTGGTATAGGTTTCTTTGAGTTTCATGAACTTGGATTTGTTGAACTTCTCAGATATGTGGGTTTATAGTTTTCATCAAATTTGGATAATTTTTCCCAACTATTTCATAAAATACTTTTCTATTCCTGCTATTCTCTCCTTTTCTTTGAGTATTTCAACTTCATGTGTACTGGGATGCTTGAACTTTTCCCATGAGTCCTTGATATTTGTTTCTCTCTCTTTTTTTTTTTTTTTCAGTCTTTCCTCTCTCTGTTCCATATCTGGATAGGTTTTATTACTTAATCTTCAAGTTTACTAAGCTTTTTGTCTGCCGTGACTAATCTTTTAATTTCATCGAGTGTATTTTTAACCTCAAACGGTGTAGGTTTCATCTCTAGAAGTTTTATTTTATCTTTTGAAAATATCTTCTATGTCTCTACTTAACATGTTTAATCTTTCTTCTAGCTTCTTGAACATATGGAATTCCATTATAATAATGTTTAATATCCTTATTTATTAATTCTATCATCTGTTTTATTACTGAGTTATGCTAATTTTTCTCTCATTATGGGTTATATTTTTGTGTTTGTTTGTGTGCCTGATAATTTTTGATTGGATACCAGACATTGCCAATATTATCCTATTAGGTGTAGGATGTGTTTTTATTTCTGTAAATATTACTTAATTCTGTTCTAGGGTATAATTTAGTTACAGAAACAGCTTTAGGCTTCTGAGTGTTGCTTTTATGCTTTTCTTTAGGTGGGACTAAAGCTGCCTAAGTAATGTGGCTGATTTTTCCTCACTACAGAGGCAAATCCTTTCTGAGTACTCTGTGCGCCATGAATTATGAGGCTTTCCCCTCCAGCTGGTGGGAACAGGAATTATTGCTAGTCCGATGTCACCTGTGGGGATTGCTTCCCATGTATCTTTTGCTGGCTCTATCCCTGGCCTCAGGTTGTTTCCTGACACACACTGATCAGTATGCAGCTGAAGTCTTCAGGGGACCTCTTCATATTTCTTCAGTTCTCTCTTTGGCAAGTACTTTTCCCTGCAATACTTTGCTTCTGTGAATTCTAATATTTGGCCTTTCTGAACTCCCAGCTCCATCTTTTCAAATTGCTGAAACATCCAGACTCCACTTGAATCCCCACGCACCCATGCATTGTAGCATGGAAACTCCCCAGGAAGTAAGCTAGTAAAATTGTAGAAGTTACTTCATGTGTTTCCCTCATCTCAGGGATTACCTCCCCTTCTCCTTGATGTCTAATGTCATAGAAAACATTGTTTTATAAATTGTGTCTCATTTGTCATTTGTCTCAGGAAGAAAAGTACATCTGTTTCTGTTGTTCCATCTTGGTCCAAAGTGGAAGTTCAAGAGCCAAGGTGTTTGATATAAAAGTGCTCGAGTTTTTGACTTTCAAAGTCTAAGCCCTGATAGACTCAGGGAATAAAGTCTAAAATATGGATTTGGAAGTGTGCGTAATTGTGTGGGTCAGATTTCCTTTCCCTGATACAACAAGAATCCCTATATGGGAGGGAGTTGAGGACAATTAGAGTTGAGGAAAAGAATGATATGCTGGTTTTTGGCTCTAAAAAGAGGCCTTGCTCCCTGCCTTCTCCCCTTAGAACTGTCTTCAGTGATGTAAGGGAAGAGTGCACACTATAGAAACCTTAGTTAGCTTTAGGGTTCCAAGAGCAGAACAAGCATATAGGAGGTGCAACATTCATGGATTGCTCCACAGATCAGCAATAGAGTTAAGATCACTATGTGGAGTGTTATAGACTGACTGTTTGTGTCCCCTCCAAAATTCATATGCTGGAACCCTGACCCCAGTGGGGCTGTATTTGGAGATGAGGCCTCTAAGGAAGTAATTAGGGTTAAATGAGGTCATAAGGGTGGGACCCTGGTCTTAAAGGATTAGTGTCCTCATGAGAAGAGAGACACCAGAGCTTGCTCCCTCTCTCTCCCTCTCTCTCCATGTGCCACAGAAGAGAGACCCTATGAGAACGCAGCAAGAAGGCTACAAGCCAGGAAGAGAGCCCTCACCAGGAGCCCAGTCTGCCAGCACCTTGATCTGGGACTTCTAGCCTCCAGAACTGTGAGAAAATAAATTTCTGTTATTTCAGCCACTTGGTCTATGGTATTTTTTATGGCAGCCTAAGCAGACTAAGACAAGTATGTAGACAGACCAGATTAGGACCACTTTGCAGTTTTCTCATACCCAGAATGGTACAGGTAGAAAATATTTACCACATACCCAAGAAAGGTATTGGTATAGCTGAGAAAAATCCAGACCTGTAGGGGTCTCATAGTTTGGGCCAGGCTAGCAATGATTGTGAAGATGATAACTGTGTAGAGTCCTGATAGGATATAATGTCTCCGTGAAGTCTAACAGTGATAAGTAATAACGATCAAGAATTGTTCCTTCGTTATGTCTTGACCCTGTGATGTCAACTGTAACATAAATGATATCCAGGGGTAGGGTAAGAGTTGAAGATGGGGAGGTCGTGATGGAGAAGTCTTGAATTGATTGGGATTACGTGTTGAAAATAGGTATTTGAGATATAAATTGAGTTTCATAAAAATGAAGTCATACATTTTTGTGTATCTGAGTTTATGGCCTAAAGTTTTTACCCATTACACATGCTTACTCTCTGGTTGACGTCCCACAGTAGGGAACCCTTGGGGCTTGTTTGGGTTTGACTGCAGTGAATGACTTAGGGAAGATCACTGGGGTGTATGTCAGAAGAATGCATATTTTCTTTGCCAAATAAAGTAAGTTATAACTGAAGATTGTAAGTGATTCCTACACAAAAATGTGCAAGTGGACCCTTCATGCAAGCTATTTCTTACAGGGTAACGAAGTTTGGTTGAAAAGGTTTACTTCCCATGTGCCAGTATCCCAGAGTTTTAAATTCAAACTCAGGCCTTATGTTGCAGATCTTTGGATTTTCTTCTAAAGAATAAAAATTATAAGGCCGGGTGCAGTGACTCACACCTGTAATCCCAGCACTTTGGGAGGCCGAGGCAGGTGGATAATTTGAGACCAGCCTGACTGACATGGTGAAACCTCATCTCCACCAAAAGTACAAAATAATTAGCTGGACGTGGTGGCACATGCCTGTAATCTCAGCTACTCGGGAGGCTGAGGTACAAGAATCGCTTGAACTTGGGAGGTGGAGGTTGCAATGAGCAGAGATCGCACCATTGCACTCCAGCCTGGGCGACAAGAGCGAAAATCCATCTAAAAAAAAAAAAAAAAAAGAATATAAATTATAAGTGTGAACTCTGAATAATGAGGATCTTCATTATGTTTACTATTCAATACTTTATCTTTTAAAGTACCTGAGGAGTTGTATTTTTATTGCAAAGATGATACAGCTGCTGGAAACATTTGCAGAACTCCTCTGCTGGAATTTTCTTCAGAGATGACAGCACATTCTGTTAAATCTTCACATTAATGACTAATCTTTATTCTTTGAGCAAAGATTTGATTTTTTTTTTTTGTAGCACTCTGGCACCAGAATGATTTTGAGTTAAGTCTGATGAATAAAGAGGGGAGTCACCCTGGGTAATACCATCTATGGTCAAAAACAAAATGTGACTAAAAGGAAATTAGACTGATTTTTCGTGGTAAAGATAAGGAAACTAATAGATACTTTAAAAATCATTTTAAAATAATTTAAATCTAAGAAACCCTTTCTTGAATCAACAAACCTACGGAATTTTAAGCAAATGAAACCAATAAAAGCAGAGCTGCTTTGGTTAAGGTGGTGTCTGGAGCCTGGGTCCCTCCTCCCATACCTTGAATTCCTGAGATGGCCTTGAGGCTCCACACAAGAGTACAGTTAGAAAGCCATTGCTTGAGATGATAGCAAGTTAAAGATATTATTTTAAAAAATAGATTTTAAAAGATACAACATTCTCAGGCAGGTCATCCATAGCCCTCTCAAACAGTACGTGGCTATTATCAAAGACTTTTCTGAATGAGAAGTAGGATACAAAGTGTGACATTAAGAAATAAAAGAGTTTTTCTTTATAACTGCGCTAGTCAGAAGACTTTCAAGATGACTATCCAGGAAAGTCAAACTCACCCTGCCATATTGCTCTCCTGCCATGGCAGTCTCCAAATTTTTACAAATGATACCCTGTACTTTTTTCCCATTCCCCTCCAACCTGTCACTTAACAGTAGGCCCGATGTTAGACTCTAGGGACAGTCTGTGCTCTTTGCCTCAAGCACTTAAATCAGGGCCTAGCATTGATTCAGTTCTGCTCCTCTTCTCACTAACTTGGACAACTCATTTCTCTTGTGACCAAGCCTAGGCCAGGACCAGATGAGGGTCAGATTTTCTGCTCTCCAGTCAGTCTCCCTATGATGTAATGGTCACTGCATGGACCTCTGGTCTTGTCTTCTGGGCCTCAGTTTTTGTAGATTTTGAACTCAGTTTGGAACCTTTGGTCTGACACTGAATTGATTTTCTCCAAAGCCCCTACCCAGTCCAACCAATGGTTTCACATCTGTTTTTCAGCCATAAAAACCCTTCAATAAAATAAAAATCTTATAGTGAAATATGTAAAACAGATGAAAATGGAGCTATTCTGGCTGGAAAGAAGGTGAGGCCTCTCATCTGCATGGCATCCTGCCTGGCATAGAGTTAATAAATGCTAATTGTTAAGTAATAAGGATAGCAACAGCAACAACCACCACCATTAGAAAGCTCAACTTGGTCAGGTGCGGTGGCTCACACCTGTAATCCCAAAGCACTTTGGGAGGCTGAGGTGAGAGGGTCTCCTAATACCAGGGGTTTGAGACCAGTCTGGGCAACGTAGTGAGACCCTCATCTCTACACAAAATTAAAAATTAAAAAAAAAATTTTTAAAGCTCAACTCAAATGCCACCTTCTCTGAGAAGACGTCTCAAAATCTCTCAAAGTCCCTCTTCCTCTTCTAAACTTGCATAATGTTTTATTTTGTACCACTTTTGGTAAAAGATACCATATTATGGCTTATATTAAAATTATTTTTATCTTTTCTACTAGACTTTTAAGTTCCTGAAGGAATATTGCCCAATTGTTTTATTTCTATACTTTTCCACAGAACTTCATATCATGCCTGTAACAGCCAGATCCTAAAGTGACTCCAGTGATTCTTGACTTCTGGTATTCATGCCCTCATACAATCCCCTCCCCTTGAGTGGGGGTGGGACTGTGACTTGCTTCTACCAAGAGAAAATGGCAAAGGTAATAGGATGTCACTCCCATGATTATGTTACATTATATAGACTCCATTTTTGCCAGTATGCTGGCTCTAGAGTTTCCCTTTCCATTGCTGACTTTGAAGAGGGAGCTGCCACAAATCTTACAGCCCTAAGGAAAAGTGACTTCTCCAAACACCTGATGAGCTTAGAGGTAAATCCTTTTCTAGTTGAGGCCCCGGATGAGACCCCAGTCCTGGCCAACATCTTAGTTGCAGCTTGTGAGACCCTATGCAGAGGACCCAGGTAAGACATGTTCAGACTCCTGATGCAAAGAAAATTTGAGATAATAAATGGGAATTGTTTAAAGGTGCTAAGTTTATGGTGATTTGTTAAGCAATACAGAAAACGAATACAGGTGTAGTGTAGAGCACTTAGTCTTGCTCTAAGAGGATAGATATCAAGCCTATGATATTGAGCAATTATTTGGTAAGTAATTTTTCAAACATTTAAGATACTTCTAAAATCCTATTGAAAAACATCAAACATTTATGTATGGCAAAAAGCAACAGAAGTTGGTTTACAGAAATGAAAAGGCAGATCAAAACCTGGTAAAACATTTTAAAAGCCTATCTCAGCAAAAGCTTGATTTTCCTAACATGTAAAGAGCTAATAAATCAGTAAGAGAAAGATTCTACGTCCATTAGAACACTAGGTAAAGGATATGAAGACAGTTCACAGAAAAGTAAATACAAACGGCTCTACAACATAAGAAAAGGAGCTCAACCTCATTTAAACAAAAGTCAAAATAAAACTGCAATGACATTATTTTTCACTTATCACACTGGCAAAACTTTTTAAAAAATTGATAATACACTTTGAAAATACACAATAGCAGGCGCTCAGTGTTGTAGTAATCTCTAGGAAAGGCAATTTATGAGATTTATTAAAATTAAAAAACAAATACACCATTTGACCCAGCAGTTATACTTCTATATTTAGATATGCTCATTTACAGATATGTTCACCTTCTGTTAAATGACTTATTTATTGCAGTATTGTTTGTATCAGCACAAGATTGGAAACAATCTAAATTTTTATCCAGAAAGGACTAATTGAATGAAATTTGGTGTGGTAATACGATGGAGTGTTCTGCAGCAGTTAAAAATAATATATTGATATGGAACATGCTCTAAAGTATATTACTAAGTGAAAAAAGCAACGTTTGGAACACCTGGTATAATCTACTATCATTTATCTTAAAAAAAATCCACTTTTGGCTGGGCACGGTGGGTCACACCTCTAATCCCAGCACTTTGGGAGGCCGAGGCAGGCTGATCATGAGGTCAGGGGATCGAGACCATCCTGGCTAACATGGTGAAACCCCATCTCTACTAAAAATACAGAAAATTAGCCTGGCATGGTGGCGGGCGCCTGTAGTCCCAGCTACTCTGGAGGCTGAGGCAGGAGAATGGCGTGAACCTGGGAGGTGGAGCTTGCAGTGAGCTGAGATTGTGCCACTGCACTTCATCCTGGGTGACAGAGCAAGACTCCATTTCAAAAAAAAAAAAAAAAAAAGAAAAAAAAATCCACTTTTACATATATGTCTATATTTGGAAACGCTTGGAATATATCTAGAAGTTACACTAAAACATAGTGGCAGTCGTTGCCTCTGCTACTGGGGGACAGAGATGTAATGAGACTGACTTTTTCCTATGTCTCATTTTGTACTTTTTGAATTTTGTACCATGGACATGATTACTTATAAAAACCGAATTAAAATGCATACCAAAGCAAAAAAGCTTATGAGCACATTTAAAACAAATAAGTTAAAACATAATTTAATAAAATATATTATTTCCGAATAATAAATTGCAAGCAAAAATGCCCCAAATCTGAGGTTTTTGAACAGCTTACGTGGGTTTACGAGTGAAAAAGATGAATCTTACAAGCCTCTGATAGATAAAATTTTCACAGTAGTATATTTCTTCCCAGCCAAAATCCCCCAGGGAAGTCAGTTGAATACCTTATACTGTAATTTTAGTTTTTCATTTCCTTGTGTAAAAACCCCCTAGGAGCTTTGCTGCAGAAAGGAATTCCCTGGGATTTTAAACCAGCGTGGTTTAGAAAAGTCTTAACTTCAAAGTGAGGTTCCCAACGTACTGTCCATGGGTGGCATCTTTCAAAATGAAATAATTGGAATTTGGTGGAAGTCGTGGCAGCTACACCTCGGGTTTGGTGTTGAAATAAGCAGGAAATATGTTCTGACACCCAGCGGCACAAAGCTGTTACAGAGAGCATTGTCAATTGAGTGTGTCCTTAATCAATCTGAAATGTTTTAACATTGACTTTAATATGTATGTGCTTTGAGACTAAGTGTTAGGAATGATCTCACAAAGATCTCACCAGGGGATGGGAGACACCCTTCCCACTGTGCTGAGTGGGATGAGGACACTACCAGCCTGCTACCTGCTAAGCTCCCTTCCAAAAAACCCTTGATGTGGAGGGGAGTGATGAGTGAGCTTTTTACAACATGCCTATTTTTGCAGAGTTCTCTCTCTTCCATCCTAGCTGCTGGGGTCGTGTCAACCTTGTGTACATGGTAAAATTGAGGACCTCTACTTCAAAACATCAACTCCATTGCTTGTCAGCCCCCTGTTTTAGCCTTTATTTTGGTCCTGATAGCTTTTTTGATTTCACATTTTCCCCCTTCCCAGGAGGGATCACACCTTGAATTCTAATTACCTTAGTTAAGAAGAAACTTTGGAAAGATTTGTTGACATTCAGTGAAGAGCAGGAATGTAGGAGGAATTGTGGGGGAGGCCAAAGACTCACTTTGCTGTGTCTACTGTTTTACTGAGATGGGCTGTGGCTGAGCATTGGAAAATCATCTTGTACACACACATGTTGACTTGACTCAGGTGCGAGAGAGGACCTGGACCTGGATGCAACACCTGCCCTGTTTCAGAAGTGTTTCGCACCCTCCGGGGCTCAGTGCAATCTTTTTTTTTTTTTTTTTTTTTTTTTTTTTTTTTTTTTTTTGAGATGGAGTTTCGCTCTTGTCACCCAGGCTGGAGTGCAATGGCACAGTCTCGGCTCACTGCAATCTCCACTTTCTGGGTTCAAGTGATTTTCCTGCCTCAGCCTCCCAAGTAGCTGGGATTACTGGTGCCCATCACCATACCTGGCTAATATTTGTATTTTTAGTAGAAATGGGTTTCACCATGTTGGCCAGGCTGGTGTCGAACTCCTGACCTCAGGTGATCCACTCGCCTTGGACTCCCAAAGTGCTGGGATTACTTACAGGTGTGAGCCACCACGCTTGGCCACAGTACATTCTTATTGATTAACTCTGTTCTTAACTAATTGACTGATATGGTTTTGCTCTGTGTCCTACCCAAATATCATCTTGAAATGTGATCCCCACATGTCAATGGAGGGACCTGGTAGGAGGGGCTTGGATATGGAGGTGGTTTCCCCCATGCTGTTCTCATGATAATGAGTTTTCATGAGATCTGATGGTTTAAAAGTGGCACTTCCCAGTTCATTCTTGCGCTCTCTCTCTCTCTCTCTCTGCTGCCACCGTGTAAGACATGCCTTGTTTCCTCTTTGTCTTCCACCATGATTGTATGTTACTTGTGGCCTCCCCAGCCATGTGGAACTGTGAGCCAATTAAACCTCTTTTCTTTATAAATTACCCAGTCTCAGGTAGTTCTTTATTTATAGCAGTTCTTTATTTTATAGCAGTGTGAAAACAAACTAATACATTGACCCTCCTTGAAAATGGCCATAATTAATTTTCAAGTTCTGGAGGGAAGTTGTAACAGAGTTTTATTTCCAGTGAATCCCAGCACTTGAATTTTTAGAGGCTCACTTCATCTTCTACCCTTTGCTAAGGTTTTGCTCAGTTCATTAGTAAATCTTCTTAGAGGGAATGAAATAAAGAGGGGATCAGAGGAAACTTGCCTTTGTCAAAACAGTTCTGGTGAAGGATTCTGTCAGCAAGTATTTGTAACTGCTGGCTTATAAGAGGTTGGAGATTAACTCTGGATTAATTTGTCTGAGCTATATATTTCCCAGTCCTCAGTAAATGACCAAGAATTGATTCTGGGTGGTGAGAAATCCATACACTATCACACTGGTGTGTCCCTTGAGGATTAGGCAAGACATTTTAGTACTGAGGTACACAACAGAACTTTGCCCTCCTGCTTGCTATGATTGGCTATGAACGCATGCATTGCGTGTGGAGAGGGTTTGGCTCTGTGTCAAAGTGGGCTGACTGCCTCACACAATCTCTTCCCATGCCCCCTGAGGTTTCTGAGCCCCTTTGCACAGACAGTCACTAGATCAACTGGAATTTACCCCATCAAATTCAAGTGTAGACAAACCTCTGGTATTCATGCCAGTGTGTGTGAAGCGTCCACATTGATACGTGGCTTGTCAGTGGTGGTACCTTGAAAACATGATGGAGACACTGAGCTGATTTGGAGGCACATGTGTTAGCTATTGATCAAGGGCATCTTTTGCTCTTGGTTGGGGCCCCTTAAGCCGCTTACTTTCATAGACTAACTTTGGCTTCTTTCTTCTTCACATCAGGAGCCCACTGACATCCTTGCCACTGGATTATGTTTAATGGCATTCAAACTAACATTTTCCAGTATCAGCTTAGATCATCCTCAAAAGGCTGACCCTGCTTTCAGGTCTCCAAAGGATGCTTTTCTTCTGACACTCCACTATTTCCTGAACTGGTCATTGTCTTCTTCCTCTTCACCTCCTAACTTCTCTTTTTAGTCTAGTCCCATGCAGCAACTTTTGGTTTCTTAAAATACGTAGCCAGTTGAATATTTTTATAGCAAATCATCGGGTAGTTACGTGATCCTTAATGGAATTTAGCCATTTCTCACTTTTGAAGTGTGGCATGGTCTCAAGCTCCTTGTGTCTGTGCCCAAGGCACCATCCTATCTTCATTTGTCATCTCCAAATCTAGAGGGTATCATTTTCATCATTCTCACTTCTTATAACCTCAAAGCTTTCCAGTTAGCAGCCTGGTCTCTCCCTAGAATCCCACTTCCACACCCCCTCCATAAGGGTCCTAGAAACCTACCCAGCATCAAAACTTGGCAGTCCCTATGCCTGTCCTTGCCCTGCAAAACCACATTCAGGAGTGAGGAGCTCTACCTTAGAGCATTTTACCATTTCACACATGCACCTTTCTTGAGCTCACTTTGACCCTCATTATTATTGAGCCCGGAATGGAAGGCAGTGGGTTTGGGGAGCCTTCACGTAGAGGAGTGTTAGCTTTATCTACATTCAGACAGAACAGGATGAAACTGAAGTGGCTATGCAGATATTTTAGTCTCGCTAGAATTCTTGTTCCATTACACAACAATTTTAGGCAGTCAAAATTTCAAATTT